CCCCCCCCCCCCCCCCCCCCCCCCCGTAGTGAAGACCTGCCCTGAGTCCGGTCACTAGTGGACATCTTAAACCCCACCATCACAACTGGCTCCATCCTTGGCAGAGGTGTGGAAAGACTCCGTGGGACATAGATACTAAACTCCTTTCTCCACCATCAAGGTGGCCTTTCCAGGTCAAGATTGCGGCAGAACGCAGGCATGGGGCATGCTTATGCTGTCATTGCTTTTGGTCTAGCTGCTCTGGGTGCCACCAGAACGTCAGTCTGCAGTGCTGGCAAGCCATCCCCGCCCCCTGATTGTTCACTTTTTGTCCCTGGTACTCAATTTTCTGGGTTCTGTGGCCCCTCCCTCAGCTGAGGGGATGGAGGGACAGGGAGGCTTTCATTCAGGTGGACTCTGCCCACCAATCCCAATCATCCAAGAGGGTAGGCTGGGAATTTTCAAGAGCACTAAACTCACTTGAAAGCAAAACCAATATTTTCTGAGGCATAGACAAGGATTCATTTACCTAAGGAAAATATTTAGATAATGCACCATTTTCTGGAGGGTGGTGAGTTTAATATAATGTTTTGTTCTTTTTTTTTTTTTTTTAAATGCAGTGTCTGAAGTAGTTATCAGCTGATCCATCTCTTGCATTTTTCTTCAGGACACTACCATATGTCGGAACCATTTGGAAATAACTGATGCTGTTCAAAGTTTAACCTGTAGGGACCTGTACCTAATTACTTACACATTTACAAAAAGGGGGGGAAATTGATTTGCTGAGAATGTAATTGAAACCATGTTTTTTTGCCTAGCTTTTTATCCATTTAGATACATTTAGAAGTTGTTTAAATAAGGATTACTAAACTGGAAATAGTTGGAAGTACTTGGCAATATTCTGTAATGAGGAGAGAGTGCCATCTAGTGGTTAATAGTACTTGTGGCCAGCACAATATTCCACACCTTTTTTTGGTATCCTATACTGTATTAGGGCGGACAAAGGCCAGAAGAAACCCACACATTTCTGCAATGCTAGGTGTAGCCACTTTTGTATTTAATTAAGAGAATCTGCCCATAGGCAATCTGAGTCTGAGGATGCTGAGTTTTGTCTTGAACTAAGTAGCCATTTGGGGCCTGCAGTCTCCTCTCCCCATTTCACCACATTAAAGTTGAAAGGGGCTGCACCTGATTCTGTTTTATGCAAAACAGGTGTGGTCTTTGGGTTTCAGCCTTCAGCTGGCCATAGTGTGGTCCCCCTGCCATATATATAGTGTCTTCCCAGCCTAAAATTTTCAGGAATGTGAGTCACCATCACAAATGTGATGGGGCTTTAGTTATTACCACAACAATAAATAGTAAATTATCCAAAACTGATGTTACATCAATCACAGACAAAACACCACTATAAAAAATAAATAAAATGAAGAACTGAGTTTCCTATAACAAATTAGAGAGACAAGGTGGGTGAGGGAATATCTTTTATTGGACCAACTTCTGCTGGTGAAAAAGAGAACCTTTTGAGCCTTCACCCACCTTGTCTCTCTAATATCCTGGGACCAACACTGCAAAATATAACAAGTTATTTTTTTAAATTATAAATTATTTGACTCTAGAACCTGAACTGGATAAGTCAATATTTTGAGAATTTGTGAAAGGAAAGAAAAAAAAAAAAAAGTATTCCTGAACTGAAGTTCTGACTTAAAGGGACACTGGTTAACAAAAAGTATGGACTTGATTCTGCTCTATCACCCCAGTTTTACACTTGTGTAATGCCACTGACATCCATGGATTTACATTATCATAACGGATGGAGAATCAGGCGTATTCAGACACATTTTCCCTTACCTACAGTATGTTAGTAACTCCTGAGATTATCATAATTGAAAGCTGAAAATCTACTTTACTTTTCACCATTTCCCCAGTTTATTTACTTTTTCCTCTTGAAAATGGACTAGTCATTCTATTATTTTCAGTCACTCTATGAACTGTACACAGAAAATTAGGCCTGAGAAGAGCCCTCTGTCTAATGGAGATATCCTATCCAATCTCCTAGAACTAGAAGGGACCTTGAAAGGTCATCGAGTCCAGCCCCCTGCTTTCACTAGCAGGACCAAGTACTGATTTTGCCCCAGATCCCTAAGTGGCCCCCTCAAGGATTGAACTCACAACCCTGGGTTTAGCAGGCCAATGCTCAAACCGCTGAGCTATCCCTCCCCCCTGCTCTTTCCCAAGGGCCTGTCACAGTAGGATCAAGGTGCTATATGCTGGGGAAAGGAGGGAGAGGCTGGAAGGGAAATCCATTCTCTGGCCTACGTTGACTGTAATCATGAGTTGTTAATTTTGAGTGCAGTGTTTGATTGTCTTTGATTCTTTGGGGACTGGAGATGGTGAGGGTATGACCCTCATTTGGCTCAAACCTGCTGTTGAGAAGGCCATACCTAGTGCTCCCTGGTAGTCTGCTGGATGACCGCAGCTGCTGCAGAGAGACCTGGAAAGTGAGGCAGTCTAGAAGATCTAATGCCCGTTCCCCAAGGGCTTTGTAAAAGAATACCAGAACTTTGGAGTGGTTCCAGTAAGGAAGGGGGAGCCAGTGCAGGCCGCAGAGCATGCTCGTTAGCTCGCCCCCACCCTAAGCAGACAGGACACTAGAGTGTGTATGCGTGTACCAGTGTTATTTGACTCCTAGCCCTGCTGAGGAATTTGTTCAGCATGGCATTACAGGCCTTCCCCAGGGCCTTGGTGAATTAATGAAGTGTGACAATAGCACGCCTGGTTCAGGGAGAAACAAACAGCTCCTCTCAGAACCACTGCATCCTGATTTGGGGCAGAGCACTAGTAGGCCAGGTCTACAATACAAACTCATGCTGGCATAGCTGTCTGTCAGAAGCATGAAGAGGTGTGATCCCAGACTGATACAGTTGTGCCGGCAGAAGCCCCTAGTGTAGACGTGGTTATACTGGCAAAATTGCTGGTATAATTTATTTTGCTTAGGGGAGCTGGGATAAACTGCATCCACACTAGGAGGGCTTTACCAGCGTAGTATACCAGTATAGACATACTAACAAAGCCTTTAGGTGTATATCTGGCTGTAACCTCTCGGGTGGCTTATCTCAAGAGGAATCATCTCCTTTGCAGTTTGGCTTATTGGCCATTCTCTGTCCCTGGGGAAGCGGGTCTGGCACTCTTAAATCCTCCATTCTCTGGATTATCATTGTAGCATCCTTTAGGTACACTGGTTTCCTGACTGGTCAAGCACCAAACTCCTCATGTTCGTCTCTAGGTCCTGCATAGTTTCATGTTGTTGGAAGCAGTCTCTGTGTGGAGATAAAGTGCGGGAACATGGTCTTCTCAGTGCTCTGTTGATCATGACGCCAGTTTAGCTCAAGCATGGGCTTGAAGTTAAAGGTGTTTAAGTGCTTTGCTGAATCAGGGCCTGTGATGTTACCAGTCTCTGTGTCCTGGGTATCCCATTCTATTACAGGTTCATGCTGTTGTGGTCTACAACAACTGTGTTCAGTATGTGTAGGATAATGGCAGCAGTAATAAAGTGCATTTCTTCCCCACTCTTAAGCACTAGTGGCCACTAGCCCTTTAATGTCTTTGTGTGAGAAGTTCAGCTCCTTCCCCCCGTGGTTCTAGTCAGACACTACACTGAGGTCCTTTTTGTCCATCTCTGTCTATTCAGGTGCAAGTGTGAAAGATGGCATAATGCCAAAGAGTGTGCAATAATCCAGTGTCCTGGCCAACATTCACTTTTTTCCTCTGCCTCTATCTCCTACCTCAGAATGTGGAATATTTGTTACCTTTGTATCTAACTCACTGCTTTGGGACAGCTAGAGGGTGAAAATTGATACTGTATATGAAGACCAAATTAACATTCAGTCCGGATAGAACATAGGCTTTATCATGTACTTAAGCCCTCTATCTGCCCTTTGGATGTCAGTCTTATCACTCCAGAAACCATGGTGTGAATTTCTGACCTAGTATATAATCAGTGCCATATTTCCAGTTGGTATTTCCCCAATAACTTTGGGGTTTCTCTCCATTGGTCAGAAGATAATTTGACTATTTGGTTTGTTGTATACAGTTAGCAGAGGGCTTTGCATCAATAGCAGTTTTCTAACAATGTTGGATTATAACAATATATTTAAATCCTCTCAGACAGGGAAGTATTATCCTCATTTTATAGACGAGGAAATTGAGTCATAGTGAAGTGACTTGCTACTGAATTAATAGTATAGCAGGATCTAGGAATCCCATTACCCAGTCCCTTGCACTGCCCACTAGACCAGAAGTTCCAAAAGTGTAGTCCACAGAATGTTGGCTAGTCACATGATACAGGCTCTTCTGTTCCCAACTGGTAACATTTTATTAAAAGATTCCAGCAATCCATCAAATACTTTCCTAGCGTTACTTTTCCTTTTCAGGAGCTGCCTTAATCTCTACAGAGATATTACCTCATCATGACTGGGAGAATCTCGAGTCCAAAGAGGGGTGGTGCTCAAGATAGTACCTCTTAATGTGGTCTACACTATGGAAAAAGTTTGAGAGCCCCAGCCCTAAAGTACACTTCCTGTATGTGAAACACAAGTATCAACACCAGTTTCTCTTTTCTTTTTTTTTCCCCCCCAGCATTGGAGTGGATGGATTTGGTCAGCCAGCTGGTATTCCTGGCCGTCCTGCGACTGCGTATGGATACCGTCCTGATGAATCTTTCTACTATGGCTATGGTACCCGATAGAGCAGCCCTCTGCATACGTTAGGGTGCTGTCTTCCTGCTCCATTAGAAACCAGTTGTATGTAGCTGACTTTAGAGCACTCCCTGGTAATGCATGGTTATACTGGAATGGGTCTGCGTGATATGTATCCTTTGGTATGTGTTAGCTCTAGATAAACCTAACCCTTTCTGGTTCTAGCGTTTTAAACACAGACTGTGTTCACCCCTCAGTTTCTCTCTTTATTATAATTTTTGTACAGTGTTTGCCATGTGATTTGAAAGCAAGTATTGAAAAGCTACTAGACTGGAAAGTAAACATTACATTATGTATATTAAGCAAGTAATTTAATTTCTATTAAAAAGAAAAACCATTCAATCAGTGCTGATGAATGCCTGAGCTCCATTTTTCTCTCTGGTTCATGGGGGATTTTTGTAATTGCCTCTTGTGGAGCATTTTAAGTGATGTACATGTACTGTACAAGTAGTTGAGTAAGCCACCCACTGGAAATGCCTAGTGCCTGGCATCCAATGGCTATACCCTGGAACACTGTTACTGAAATACAGCACTGGATTCAAGCATCCCAACAGCACACAGCCCAGAGGGTATGGCACTTTACAGCTGTAACATTGGAGGGTAGATGCAGATTCACTCATCTTGAGCTTGAAACAATTTTCAAACAGTTACAGCAGGGGTTTTTTCAACAGTTACAGCTCCATGCGCTGCCCTCGCCTGCAGGTACCTCCCCCGAAGCTCCCATTGGCCACAGTTCCCCGTTCCCAGCTGCGGGGGGGGGGGGAAGGGGCGGTGCCTGCTGCTTCCGGAAGTGGCGCGGGGCCAGGGCAGGCAGGAAGCCTGCCTTAGCCCTGTGGCACCATGGGGGTGTCGATCCCGCAGGCCGGATCCAGCCCACGGGCCGTAGTTTGCCCACCCTTGAGTTACAGCCTACTACAGTTACAGTAAGAGCCATCTCCACTATCTAAATGACTACAATTAGAAACCATGCTTAAAAAGAATGCTTTAACGTTCTAACAGAGTTCATCTAGCCTTTGTGTATGAGGCTGTGCAGTGTTAAAACAACGTATGCAGTAGCTAACTATGGACCTAAGCTAGAGCATGATTTTTAAGCTGTCCAACCCAATTTTGCACCATCCCAAAACCTGAGAACCACCCCATTAGCTCACAAGCACAGACTGTAAACTGTTGACTAGCAGTTACAGGGCCAAGAGGTCTCCACTTGAAACTAACATACTTGCAGTGATACAATTGTTTTCCTGGGCCCAGATTTTTAAAGCTATTTAAAGGTTGCTGCACTCAGTGTTGCAACACCTAACTGATATAGAAGCTCAAGTCTCATTTTTAAAAGTGATTGAATAGGATTTAGGCTTTTAAGTGCCTAAATCCCTTTTGAAAATGAGACTCAAGCTTCTAAATCATTAGGCATTGCAGTGATGAACACAGCAACACCTAAATACCTTTAAAAATCTAGGCCCTAGTCTAGGGTGAGTGCAGCATTGTTTGGGCTAGCATGAATCCTATAATAGATTCCCTGTCCCCAGTGGGTGTGGGAGAGCATGCTGCCAGCTGCCTTTTCTCTCACCACATCATGTCAGACTGATGGCGAAGAGGGTGTCTGAAGAACTCATTTTCCAAAACAAGAATTACTTCAAAATCCCTTTTTTTAAAAGTGGCTGTTTGATTTACAGAATTTTTTTTCAATCTCATCCCTTTTGATTTACTGGGATCCAAGTCCTGTATTATTAAACTCACTCACCTAAGACCAATGTATATGCCAAGGGAAAGATTTCAAAGGCACAAAGGAAAGTTAGGGAGTTGGGCATCTAACTGCCATGTGTACCTCTGAAAATCTCTCCTAAAATATGACATTGCCTGAAAAACCCTGTGTGATGTTTCAAAACTTCATGTGATCAGTTACAGTTAGTCAAGCTACACATAGCATTCTATGCATCTGTGGGTGAGAGAGAATGGAAGGGACTTTAAAAACAGCCATAATACCAAACCAGACTTCCTCCCAGATGCTGCCTCCAACGCTATTCTTGGAGATGGGACAGTTACTAGCATTGCTGCTGCTACAACTAAAACCCCCTTTTAATCCTCCAAATCTATTGTACATTTCTAAAGCAACCTTTAACAAATCTATTAAACTCTTGATGCCTTTTTGTTCACAATACTGCCCCTTTCTAGATCCCTCCTACTGATCTGGGCCCATGTTTGTGTGCACGGAGGCCATGCCACATCTGCCTGCCATATCTCAGATGTAGACATAGTTACAGCTGCAAGGGAAACTCCTGGAACTGCACACACCCGGGCTTTTCATTTGGAGAACTCTGCATTCACATCTGTTATTTTAAAAGATCTTCAGAGAACTAGCATTACATTTTTCAAAGCAGTTGTCCTCCTTTTTGAATTTGCTTTGAAAGCAGTTAAGAGTGGGTTCTTAAAGGCTCCGCACAGTACTAGGGAAACTAAAACTGCATTTAATTGAGAGTTTCAGGTTAACAAGGACTATAGCTAGGCCTGGCGTATGGTGTGTGCCTGTAATTGTACTACATCTGATCAGTCCCAAAATAAATAGCAATGGAAAATCTCTGGCTGCATTTTAATATCAAATATTGGAAATTTTATGAGAAAAGAATGAAAGAACTAAATGTTCACAGCTTGGCTAAGAGCAACTAAGGGAAAGGAATCATTATCCACAAGCAGGGCTTGGTAAAAACTCGCCCGAGGACTGAGCTTGCTAGCCAGGATGAAAAACAGCTATGCTGCTATGTTCACCAAGGCAGGGGTGTCAAAATCATTCTGGGGAGAGAGACAAAATCGCTTTTTAATTATGGTCTCTGGGCCATGTAAAAATGCATGACCTCATATGTTCTCAACCCACAGCAGATCAACCATGGAGGTCAGTGGGAGATTTGGGAGTCTGGCCTATAAACTAACTTTTTAGTTATTCTCATTATTTACTGTGTTCAGTCCCTTAGAGGCATATTCTGCATCAACTGGAGGAAAATTCTGCTCCCCATTAGGAGCCTTGCTATTTCTGCCCTTTGTTGTTCTTGCTTTCTCATCCTCCTTTCTCTTTCTCTCCCTCTTCCCTGGCTTTAGGTTGCTGCTCCTTCCTTCCCAGTGTTTCTTTCCCTGTAATATCTTCCAGTTTGGGGTCAATTCCTACCCCATTCCACTGCTAAATTAAACAAAGATATAGTTAATACTAGTGTCTAAAGTCTCATTAGTTTGCAGAGTTAACACTACAGTGAGATTAATAGTAGGCAGAGAAGATCACATCTCTGAGACAGTGTTTCAAGCTCTCTGCAGACACAGACAATACTGTACAAGTAACATTGGGTTTGCAGTTGGAAGATTTTCTTCAGAACCCTGAAAGCAAGAAACTTTATTTTTAATAATGAAAGCTGAGATTCTGCTGATCCTGAATATGCCATGTGAGCTACAAACAGTCTGTGCAACCTGTAGTTTGTATGTTTGATACCTCTGCACTAAAGCCACAACCCCAGCAATGTAAAGAAATAAACCAGTTGTGTGCTTATTGTGATGTAGTGTATTTAATTGCAGTGTGTTATCAATCAGCTTCCTATTTAATACTTCTTCCATCTCCCTTGCTTTTGGTTTATTTGTATTTTGCTAGTATCTGGGAGACCCAGTCATGGCCCCCAAAATAATAGGCGCTTGATAAACACAGAACAAAAAGACTGACTCTGCCCCAAAGAGCTTACAGTCTACCTTCTTGCTCTGCTTGGCTCTGCCCTACTTCTTGTTCATTGTGTATCTCTTCCTACGTTTGATTTTCAGGGTCTTCTCTTTTCTTTCTTCTTATTCTGCAAGGTCTTCTCCCCTGTCTGCCCTATTTTCTCTCTCACACCTCTCCCTACTTAAAGCTCCATGTTGAAAGCCTGATACAAAGACTCTAAGGGCTTGGCTACACTTGTGAGTTAATGCGCAATAAAGGAGCCCCGTGCGCACTAGCTCACTACCCGTCCACACTGGCAAGGCACGTAGAGCGCTATGATGCCACGGCTACAGTGCTGCTGGTACTCCACCTCAGCGAGTGGAATAACGTTTGCTGCGCCCCCGCTGGAGCACCGCAGCGCCAGTGTGGACGACTTGTCCTGTTAATGTGCTTTGATCGGCCTCCAGAAGTGTCCCACGATGCCTGTTCTAGCCAATCTGGTCATCACTTTGAACTCTACTGCCCTGCCCTCAGGTGACTAACCGTCAGACTCGCCCTTTAAATTCTCTGGGAATTTTGAAAATCCTCTTCCTGTTTGCTCAGCAAGGCATGGAGTGCTCTCAGCGCATCTTTCCACGTGACCATGCCTCCACGCGCCAGGCGATCCCCAGTATGGAGCAATGGCGAGGTGCTGGACCTCATCAGTGTTTGGGGGGAGGAAGCTGTCCAGTCCCAGCTGCGCTCCAGCCATAGGAATTACGATACCTTCGGGTAGATATCAAGGGACATGATGGAAAGGGGCCATGACTGGGACGCACTGCTGTGCAGAGTTAAAGTGAAGGAGCTGCGGAATGCCTACCGCAAAGCCCACAAGGCAAACAACCGCTCCGGTGCTACCCTGCAACCTGCCGTTTCTACAAAGAGCTGGACGCGATACTTGGGGGTGACCCCACTTCCACTCCAAGTACCACCATGGACACTTCAGAGCCCAGTTCAACAAGGCAGGAGGAGGAGGAAAGCAGGAGCGAGGGTGATGAGGAGGAGGAGGAGGAAGACACCCCGGAATCCCTAGATGCATGCAGCCAGGAGCTGTTCTCAAACCAGGAGGAAGGTAGCCAGTCACGGCGGCCGGTGCTTGGGGAAGGCCAAACACCAGAGGAGGTTCCCAGTAAGTGGCTTTTATTTTGGGAAGGAAGTTATTTGGTGCAGGCTCTTGGGGCGAGGAGGATTAGGGCTGCATGCATGCCTAGCTAGGGCGTTGATGTGCTCTCTCACATCGTGGTAATCGGCCTCAGTGATCTCTTCAAAGGTCTCATCCAGAACTTGGGCAATGCGCTTGCGCAGGTTTCTCGGGAGAGTCACTGTGGTCCTTGTCCCAGTAAGGCTAACTTGTCCACGCCACTGTGCCGTGAGGGGTGAGGAGACCATTGCTGCACACAGGCAAGCTGCATATGGGCCAGTGCAGAAGCCACATTGCAGTAGAAGACCTCCCTTGCTTCCCAGGTCACCCTCAGCAGAGAGATATCTTCCAGGACAAACTCCTGTGGAAAATGTGGGGACGGTGTTCAGTATAGGGGCCCCCTGCCACTGTTGTCTCTCCCCAAGGCACAGAAACCCAGAGGACACTACAGCCGTGAAACAATCAGTCACTCTTTACCCTGTGCTT